GATATCACTATACACTTTTCAGAATGGCTACGGTAGAAAAAAATTCAAAATTACTTCTAGCACCTAATGCTTATAAGAATATGGAGAAACTGGCTCACTTATTTACTGCTGAGAAACAATTTGGCCATTTCTGATAAAACTAAACATGTAACTAGCATTTATACTTAGCAACTGCACTCTGGGGCATTTATTTAAGATAAATCATAACTGATGTTTACACACAAACCAGTACACAAATGTTCATATGAGCTTTATTCATAATAGCCCCAAAATGGAAATACTCTAGACTTCTGTTCTTTCATAGGTGAACAGTTAAACTGTGAAACACTGACACCATGGAATACTACTTAGCAATACAAAGAATGAATTAATCAATGTATCCAACTTGGATGAATCTTGAGGGAATTGTGCTGATGGAAAAAACCAATACCAAAATGTTGTACATTTGTATGTACATATGATTCCATTTATATAACATTCCTGAAATGAAAAAAAAAATTATAGAAATGGCAAACATAATTGGTTACAAGGGATTATGGTTTAGGGAGAGGGGAAGCAAGTAAGTTATAAAAAGGCATCATTAGGCACTGTTGGAAGGGAAGAACAAAGAAGGAACGAAGTATAAATATGAATGGCTACAGGGTAATTTAAGGGAGAATATTACTTAAATAAAAGTATAATTTTTTAAGATGGAAGAACTAACCTGTCTGCCACACTGTCATCAAAAAATGAAATTTGATTAGATATTAAATATTGTAAGTAATGACTGATTATTCAACAAATGTTTATTGAGTATCTCTGTAATAAGAACTGCTCTAGATGTTGAATATACAATGGTGAACAAAGCAGGCAAGGTCCTACTCATACATAACTTTTCTCCAAATGATTTTCTCCTCTCTCCCCACCTACATCCCCCTCCAAATGATTTTCTGAATCATGATTAACCTAAAGTCTTCATGATCATTTTAACCTAAACTTTGCTATTCAGACTGGAAAATGTCTCCATCATCAAATATTATCAGAATTCATATCTAGGTACTATGTATTAGACAATATTAATGGAAATCCAAGACTTAACACATTTAATATACTCTTAGCAACTAAAGTATCTTTGGTAAGACTCCTGCCATTAACAGTATGATTATTTATTTATTAATGGTATTAAATCTTATTTAATAAGGAGAGGCCAGAAACTCTAAGAAAAATAGCAGTTCATAAATCTATATGGTGCAAACAATTTTTCAATAATCTTTAAGTCTTTTTATCCCCACTACCACCACTCTAAAGTCAGGCCAGTATTCTCCTGCTACTAACTGGTCATCCTGAATCCAATCTAGCGTCTCCATCTGTTCTCCCCATTTTTTTTTAAGAGAGAGAGAGAGAAAATGATTGGGTAGGGGAGGGCAGAGAGAGAGAGGAAGACACAGAATCAGAAACAGGCTCCAGGTTCTGAGCTGTCATCACAGAGCTTGATGTGGGGCTGGAATTCATGAACCGCCAGATCATGGCCTGAGCCGAAGTCAGATGCTCAACCAATTGAGCCACCCAAGTGCCCTTGCTCTCCACATTTTCATTAGGGATATTTTTCTTTTGTTGTTGTTGTTTAATTTTAGAGAGAGAAAAAGAGCAAGTGGGAGAGAGGGGCAGAGGGAGAGAGAATCAACGTGGGCTTGATCCCATGACCCTGGGATAATGATCTGAGCTAAAACCAAGAGCTGGATGCTCAACTGACTAAGCTACCCAGGCGCCCTAATTAGGGATGTTCTTCTAAAACACAGATCTGATCACATCACTTCTTCACATTTTAACTCCTTAAAATGATGTTTCATTACTGTTAATCCAAACTTCTTTATGTTTTTTAAATGTCTATTTTTGACAGAGAACAAGAGAGTGTGAGCAGAGCAGGGGCAGAGAAAGAGGGAGACACAGAATCTGAAGCACACTCCAGGCTCTAAGCTGTCAGCACAGAGCTTGATATGGGGCTTGAACTCAAAACTGTGAGATCATGACCTAAGCCAAAGTCAGACACTTAACCAACTGAGCCACCCAGGTAACCCAATTCAAGCTCCTTAAAATGGTTTATAAAACCCTAAAACCCTAAGTAAGATACCTCAAGACTTATCTCCTCCCTCTTGTCTCTTACCACTACCAGCTCCCCACCCTCACTCCATGTAGAACTCTACCCTCAAGATATACCACATTTCTGGGGTGCCTGGGTGGCTCGCTCAGTCAGCCTCTGACTCTTCTCAACTGGGACTGATTTCATAGTTTGTGGGAGTGAGTCCCGAGTCAGTGAAGCTTCCTACGGATTCCCTCCCTCGCACTCTGCCCCTCCCCCATCTGTGTTCTTTCTCTCTCTCAAAATAAACATAAAAATTTTTTTTTAAAAGATACACATTTTTTTCAGCTCCTCCAATCTTCCCTTCTCTTTTCTCATCTTTTCCACATGTTATTTCTTTTGCTAACAACAGTCCTTCCCCAACTTTTTACCTATGTAAATCATTAACAGTTCTTATAGGTTTTAGTTTAAATGTCACTTGTCATATTTCCATTCAATCATTCAATAAATCTTTATTAAATGCTTACTGATAATCAAGTGCTATACTCGGTGCTTATATATTAATAAATAAAACAAACATGGTCCTTGTCATCCAGGAACACAAACTCTAACAAACATTAATCACATTTTGTTGTAATTACATGTTTAGTCCTTTTTCCTCTTCATACTAATAACTAGTATCAGTTACAAGCCAAAACCAATGTAGCTACAATAACCAATTCAGAAAATAATGAATAAATCAATAAAAAAAATATTTACTGACCACTGATCAAATGACAGATACACCCATAGTCCCCAGCCTTGCTAGTAGACCCTAAAACTTTTCAAATATCTCTTTAATGGTCAGTTATCTCAAAAGAACAGTAGATCAGAGGTCAGAAGACTTAGGTTCTAATTCTATCTTTGCAATTATCTACCTGACTTCCACTAGTCTTTTATTATTTACAAGCCACAAACTCTTAAGTACAATAGTATAATATGTAAATTAATGATCAGTATGGAGTCTTTCACAGTATAATTTATTTCTTGATGGGTTCAAAATGAGGCTTGTTAAAAAGTTTAAGGGGCACCTGGGTGACTCAGTCAGTTAAGCATATGACTCTTGTTATCGGCACAGGTCATGATCTCACAGTTCGTATGTTTGAGCCCCACATCGGGCTCTGTGCTGACAGTGCAGAGCATGGCTGGGACTCTGTCTTCTTCTCTCTATCCCCACCCCACTTTGTACATGCACTTTCTCTCTCAAAATAAATAAAAAAATTTTAAAGAATAAAAATAAAGCTTGAAAAACACAACAAGGAAACCATTTAAACAATGACTTCCTAAACTACATAATAAATTGTAAACTTTAGTACACTTAAGAAAATGCCAGTAACTCTGACACACAGACATCCAGTTAAGTGAAAATATTTTATAAAATAATTTCTAGCAACTAAAATAAGATTTTTAGTTCATACTCCCTCTGTCCACATTTTCCCAAGGCCATGCTACAAACAAAATTCTATTGTATCCTTCAAGGCCCAACTCAAACATCACCTTCCTTCAACAAAACTTTTCCTGATCTTTCCCTTCAAAATACCCTTCTTAGTCCTACTATACTCCCCTACACATACTTGATAGTACTCTGTTCATGAGTTATAATTAGCTATAAGGTACTGAGAATTCAAATTACCAACGCATACTTAACATATAGCAAAGTGCCTAGAACATTATCTTTCAATTAAGGATTACTGAATATCTTGTTTTATTTAGCACCTTTATTTATAGTGTAGACCTACCACAGAAAGGTTAAACTATAGCAATATCAAAATTCTTTCATTTGACAGGGCAGTTTTATGGTTCCCTGTTCACATACCTGAATGACATTTGCTGCTTAGCCTTTAACTGTCAAGTTGAAAACCACTTCAAATTTGGGGATAAACTTTTGTAACAAATACAAGTCTAGATTAAACTTTCTTTGGAAAAAAGAACAAGAAAACAGTTTCCAAAACAAATCAATGCAGCCTACTTAACTTTTTAGACAAATTAAACAACAAAGTGAAACCAAGGATGAGTTTTAGGAGGTGTAGAAAAACAGATATAAACATATCCAGGAGAAAAGGCATCACTCTGGAAAATACTATGCAAAAAAATAAGCTCAAAAGGCAGCAATATCTTAGTCCTTAAAATCAATTCGGAGAAAGCCATCATAATGTTATGGAATTTCTCAGCTCTTTTTTTTTTTATCTTTAATTTAGTAATTTCTACAAGTAAAGAAACCTGGATCAAAGTAACATTTACAGCTTATCACACATGCTATAGGTGGTACACACACACACACACAGAGTTTTCTAAAGCTTGAGTTGCAAGGGACAACAGCTTTTTAGGAACATGTTATTAATCTAAACTTAATTAACCTAATACTTAGTAATGGTTTTCATTTTTATTTTATTTACAGACTATACTAGCATTATATGGAGCAAGTTACAAAGAAATCCATCACAAGGAAATATGTATTCTTTTTTGTTTTTTTAAATATTTTTATTTATTTCTAGGAGAGAGAGAGAGACAGCGTGAGCAGGGGAGGGTCAGAGAGAGAGGGAGACACAGACTCTGAAACAGGCTCCAGGCTCTGAGCTGCAGTCAGCACAGAGCCCGACGTGGGGCTCGAACCCACGAACCGCGAGATCATGACCTAAGCGAAAGTCAGACGCTTAACCAACTAAGCCACCCAGGCGCCCCAGGAAATATGTATTCTAAATAAACAGTATGAAGGTAACAAAGACAAACAATCTGATTATTCAATATTAAATAACTGAATATAACACATAAAGCACAAAAGTATGTTAATTGGTGGTTTTAACAATAAAAGAGAAAAATCTGTGCCAATTATATATTCTTCAATGGAATTAAGATCTGATGAAGGGGACATAACAAACTTTGAGGAATCTCACAATTAAAGGAATGCACCAGCTCTCTCTAGGCTCAGACCTAGTTTGTGGCACACAGCTAAGTACACCAAGAAGGTTGCAATTATCAGTAAACACAGGACCCATTATGTTGCCTCCCTCAGGAAAATGGCAAAGAAGAATGAAATAAGCCAGCACACCAAGTACACTTGCTCCTTCTGTGGCAAACCAAGATGGGGAAGACACGTTGTGGGGATCTGGCACAGGGGTTCCTGCATGAAAATGGTAGCCGGTGGTGCCTGGACTTGCAACACCACTTGTGCTGTCACTGTAAAGTTTCCCATTGGAAGCATGAAGGAGTTCGATGACCAGTAGAAGCTCTACCATATGAAACACCGCTACCCTATAATAAATGGGTTTATTTTGTAACAAAATTACTTTGGCTTGTTGTTAAATATACTCATTAGATGTTCTGATTTGTGTCACACTAATTTTGCTTTTTCAAAAGACCTGGAAATTTAAAATCCTTCTAATTAAAAAAACTGCATCAATAAAATTTTTCACTAATTAGACTGGCATGGATTAAAACACAAGTTAATATTTAGTGAAGTACGTGTGGGGAAAGAGATATTCGCAAACACTGCTAACAGAAATGTTAAGTGATATAATTATGTTGCAACTTTGCAATATGTATCAGAAATTAAAAGTGCACATATGCACTCACCTAGCAATCCACTGCTACAAATTATCCTACATTCTCACACAATGCCAATAATATAGTGAAGTATATATATAGTGAAGAATATTGACTGCAGCCAGCAAAAAACCCTAAGATTGACCCAAGTATCTCTATCAATAAGGAAACAATTATATTAAATGTAATGCATATATGGAAAAATGTCCATGACATACTGGCAAGTGGAAAGAGAAAGATGCAGAATATATACCTGCTATTTCTGATGATTTATGGGGAGTACAGCACTGGGTAAGAGAGGGAAGTTTTGCTTATTTGAAACATTTCTATACTATTTGCTCATACATACATAAGTGAATGTGCCTTCTTTAAAAAATAACATTTCAAAAATACTAAATGTTACTTGACAATATATTTGAAAAAGGAAAAATGCACATTGTACAATCTCATCTAGAATGAAGAACAAATATTTTTGTCAATTTAGAAGTTTTCTTTTTCACATTACAACAAAGGGTAGCACAACCACAGTGCTACTAAAGTTAAGCATAGAGAGGTTAATTTGAAAATTAAGGAAATCAGCTAATATAAGATAAATATTCATAAAGAACTTCAAATCCTTGGACTTTAGGGACTCTGTGAAATAAAAAAAGCAGCTGCTAACCATATAAAATACTGAAGGGCAAAACGAAGAGGAAGAATCTGAAACTGAGGTATACCTATCAGCTTCGGAGAAGAAAAACCAGTCTAAAATCTTTCAAATACACATTAAGTCAAACAACCTCAAGGTTAAATTTCTCTGAATACTCTAATTTTATCAACAAGAAAACTAAACATACTTCACATCCATGATGAAATAAAACAAATAACTGAAGTTCTACATTTGGTAAGAATCTATGTCTATGAAAATCCTCGTAGGGATCAGAAGAAACAGCAGGAGATGGGGTCAATGTCCAACTCTGTGTTCAACCTTTATGGCAGAAGCTGCAGAGAGGAAAAGCAACAAATTGATCCCAGTGGGGAAGAACCTTTCCTTGCTTTGGACTTGCTAGAAGGCATAAGAATCCCCCAGGTGACAACGGCCAACCCAACTAGCCAAATTTCAAACATCGAAAAACTAGTATAAAACGCTTTAAAATATTTTAAAAGTTTCATTTCCTAAGAAAGTATATTATTTATATATATTATAGATCTACAAAGATAAAACAAAATTTTTAAAAATACTTTTCATCACACAGCAAGCTTCCTAAACTATAGAAATCAAAAATGTTATCACAGTTCCAGATTATATTTCAATTTCCTTCTCTACTACAGTATTTTTTTACTCTCAGGAAAATGAGAAAAAATTTTATTTATTAGATGTGACCAGTCTTCCTAATCTTCTGCTTGTATTAGTCTAATACATCTTTAAAAATCTTTAAAGAAAGAACTAGTACAAACTCACAAAAAAAATACCATTAGTATTAAACACTCCAATTTCCATAACATGGATTAATGCCTTCATTTGAAAAGAGTAATCAAAATCAACACAGTTTTCCTTAAGGTCTCAACTAAGAACATTACGAGCCATTTTTTTCAACTGGACTGAAAGACTTGGGGGAGATTTTATTTCTCCTTCCAAAATGTCTATAATGCTGCTTTTGTACTGCCTCATTGGCTCCTTCATACAGCCCAAGAGCAACTGAAGTGCCAATGTCCTCACCCCATTCCAGTCAGTATTCTCAATCCCTACTTGTCTGAAACAGAATTCTATTCAGTGTTCTATGTTTTACAAACATTCATTAAGTACGCACAGTGCTCTGGCACTATGCTCCTAAGATAAGTAAGACACTGGTGGGGTCTACCTTCAAAGAGCTTGCCACAGTCCAGTAAAGGAAACACACTACCGCAGTAGGGTCAGGTCTGGCTCAAAGGACAAGTTAATGCTTCAGATGGACTGTTTCAGGAAATAACTGACAACCAGGAGAAAGGACAATGGCAGCTGGGGAGGCAAAGGGTTGAGGAAGAGTGACAACATATAATTAGGACTAAAACTAAATATATGAAACATCACACTTGTTTTATTCAGATAATTCTAAGCATTCTGGAATAGCTGCAGTGAGACCTCTGTATGCTGTATTACAGAGCTTATGTTTTATTGTGCAGGTGATAGGGGAACAATGGAGGGGACAACTAGAGGAAAGAAACTAATGCAGAATGCTGGCAAGTGAGGTCAGAAACTTGGAGAACCAAAAAAAGAAAAAAAACCCAAATTATAGAGGGAATAAAAATATCTGTAGCATGGAATTTTACTCAGCAATAAAAAAATAATGACTTCTTACACAACAATATGGAGGAAACTCAAAAATACTATGTTGATTGGAAAAAGCCATACAAAAGAGTACAATGTTACATAATTCTATATACATTACAAAATTCAAGAACAAGCAAAATTAAGCTACGCTGATAAAATTCAGAAAGATGAATTTTAAAATTCTCCTCAGGGAGAAAGGCTATTAGATTGGAAAGGCAAGCGTACAAGGAATTTTCTGGGCAATGAAAATGTTCCATATCTTGATCTCTATGGTAGTTACATGTGTGAACATATATGTAAAAACCCCATTCAGCTCTATACTTTAAATTTTACCACATATACATTACAACTTAATCTATATAAAAATGTACATTATATCTTACAAAAAAAGAAAAAATGCGTATTTAATTGTGGTAGAATAAGGTCAGAATAAGTTAAGCCCTTACGCAATATGTGATTTTTAAGAAATCAGAATAAAGGTTCTAATAGACACTGTATACTCAATTAACAAACACAATCCCTATAAGACCTTAAGTACAAAAGTCTATCTTCTTTTCCCCTACAAGCAGATATATTGGCAAGTGTTCTTTATAATAAATGCTGTTAAACCAGTGTACTTTTCCCAAAGAAAAGAAATAGCTCACTATAAACCAAAAATAAATAAATAAATTTTCTACACAGCAATATCTATCCTACAGGAAGTACTACAAAGATTAATAAGGCATGAGAAGCAGTTAACACAATATAGAGCACAATGAGAACCCTTCAGACTGCCACTACAATTATTATTATATAATAGCAATAAAAGTGAAACTTCCCTTCCAATTATGCCTAAGCCACTTATTGAGAATACACTGGTTAACTGCATATTACTCAACTGCAGCCACTTCTCACTCTAGGCTTTTTTTTTTCCTTTTTTTTTAATCTTTGAGATCAGCAAGTTTCTGACAGCTGAAACATCTGGTTAGATTGGAGAAAGACCATGTTAATTACAATTTATCAAAGTATTCTTTTTAATCTGTTTGTATCCTGAAACCATGCTTATTTACCAAAAGACAGCAAATGTATTTTTAACATCTCAACAGCTTATATTATTAAAAACTCTTTTTTCATATAACAAACCAAACAAGTACATGATCACAGTTCATCTTCCTGAAAATCAAGTCTTAAAAAATTAAATTAAATCACAATGCTAACTTAGAAAAGTCATTCAGTATTGACATTCATAGGAAAAATATTATCGTTTACAATTGTGAACATTATATTAACATATGAAAAAGCCACAACATGGCAAATTTCATCAATTTGTAGAAGGGCTTCCTTAGTAGAAGTAAGAAAGTAAAATTTGCAAAGGCAAAAACTACTCAAGTACTCACTAAAAGAACACTGAAGAAATCTAGCAAATCTCTTACGGAACCGGTTTCTGAATAGCTAAACCAAATACCAACTCAATTTTCTATTATTAATAGTCACTGGAAACTGCACATTTAAGTTAAACTCAACATAAAAGAAGGAAAACTAAGAATTTAGTTCCAGAGTTTGATAGCTCTACTGTTACTTCTACCAAATCAACTGGAACAAGTATATAAAAAAGTCAATTCTTCACATTTCAAAATTTTATTGAAAAACTCATCAATTCTGATCTTGAAGGCACATTTTTAAAACACAAATTTTTTTTGTATTATTCCTACTTTGATATGTAACACTTAACAAAGCAGTCTTCTACTTACCTAGATTTTGTCTTATTAACATCTTGTTGCAAAAACAATCTCATTCGAAATTAACTCAAACCTGAAAAAACACATGCAAAGATCATCATTTAGTTTTCTGCTTCAGATAAAAATAAGTACATCTATGATACACTTATTCTTTTAAATTCAAAACTGCAATTCAAATTATCTTCTTCATATAACATTTATCTGAAAAAGTCATTCAACTAAAACATGATCATTTTAAACTTTTAGGAAACTTGTAAGTACCATCTTTTTTGATGAACAATGATCTATTCAAATGAGAAACTTAAAACTTTATAGTTCTCTTTAAAAAAGATTTACAATATGAGGCATCTGGGTGGCTCAGTAGATTAAGCATCTGACTACGAATCAGGTCATGATCTCGCAGTTCATGAGACTGAGCCCTAAATAGGGCTCTGTGCTGACAGCTCTGAGCCTGGAGCCTGCTTCAGATTCTGTCACCCTCTCCATCCCTCCCCCGCTCTCCCTCTCTGTCTCAAAAATAAGCATACATTTAAAACTTTTTAAAAGATTTACAGTAACTTATTTTGATTAATTTTAACAGTATAGCAATAATTAAAATCAGTATTTGTTAATAAAACACACACTTCTATCTAGATGTTTGTCTAATACTATTATATACATACCAAAAAGTACACCAAAAAGCTGAAGAAGAAAAATACAGTATGAGATGGCATAAAAGTATATACTGTAATAATAACTAACAATGATTATTTACTAAATGCCACATACCATTTATTCTAGAAGACCTTTTATACGGATACTCTCCTGCTTCCTCAATTTAACCTACAATCTAGTGTAATGTGACCACCACCCCAACGTTCCACTTCTACTTGAAAAATTACCTACCCCTAATTTTATCACATTTCATATATTCTGAAAACTCAGTATGTCTTATTCTGTACTCGATACATCTCCTTCCCTTACCTGAAACAAGCTTGTTATTCTTTTAAATTCTTATTACCCCAAAATGACACCACCATACCTAGATCACTGTAACTATTCTATTTCTAGACTATCATCTCAAATTCATCCTTCCCAGAAGAAGTCATCATTCTGAAACAGCTATCCTGAAGATATCACCTCTATGCTCCAAGTCCTTCAACAGTACTCATTAATGATCTCATCCCCATTGATTTATCCCTAATCTTTACTCTCCTATTCACCCAGGTTTCTAATAGTAAACCCTTCAAACTCCTGGAACAGCACCCATGCACACTCAGCTTTCATGCTTTTTCACATGCAAAGTACACATTCTTTCTTTAACTCTGCTAACACCTTTTTTACTAGTTTTGCAAAATTCAATTATTAGTTTGAATATTAGTTATCCTGAAAGATCCTTCTCTAACTTCTTCAGCGATGTGGTATTTCTCAATTGCTATAACAGCTGGTGATGGTTCTGTATCAATTCTGTTTACCTGTGTGTTTTCTGAACTACAGTGTGGACACACTGAGGCGAAGAATTCAATTCATCTTATTTCAGCATTTTCACTGGATGGCACATAGTAAAAGTACAACGGTGTAGGCTGGATGAAAGATTAGAAATTTTGTGTTGTATCCCAAAATGTACATAGGGAAATAAGTAAAATTCAGGCTAATGAGTTTAATTCATGTTTCCAGGACTAGAGGGAAAAAAATCCTATCACTTCTGAATCATTAATCAAATCACATTACTTTATGAAATAACTACATGTAAGTAAGATACAGCTGACAAAAATTAGACCAGTGCAAACTTCTACTGAGTGACTTACTTAATTTCACTGATCATCAGAACCAAGATTTTGGTTCTAAATGTTTGCATCCCTATTGAAAACAAAGTTTGTGAACTATAATTCCTAGATTAAAGTATTGGACTTAGGCAGAAAAGAGGTGGAGAAGAAGGTGAAAATGGTTTTAATACTAATAATGTCAATAACCTAGAAAGGTGGTTCTCAAACTTCAGAATACATCAGAATCACCTAGAGAGCATGTTATACAGACTGCTAGCCCCCACCCTCAGATCTCCTGATTCAGTAGTTCTAAGTTGGAGCCTAATGACTTGCATTTCTAGTAAGTTCCTAAGGTCATGCTGCTATTTCTAGAACCACACTGAGAATCACAGACCTAGAGTTTTCTGCATAATGTCTAGAAAAGACAAGAATATTCTGTCACCCACGACCACCAATCTTTACCTGCCCAGAGCTGGATACTGTGACCTATTGCAAACTGAACTATAAATCAAGTGAGAGGACTAAAAACCCACTTGGAGTTGCTGTGAAAAGATGAAAAACGGCCCTGCAAAAGAGAATACACATCATAATACTCAGAACCTGTGACTATTACCTCGTATGACCTCTCCTCCCAAAAGAAAAGTCTTTACAGATGTAATTCAGTTAAATATTTTGAGATGGAGAGATTACCCTGGATTATGTGGCTGAGCCCTAAGTACAATCATATATATTCTTGAAAGAGGGAGATGGAGAAATGGGACTATACAGGAGAGAAGGTGAAGACAGAGTAGAGATCTGAAACACTGGCCTTGAAGATTGCAGCCACAGTTAGGAATGTCAGTAGCCACGAGGACTGAAAGAGAACCTTGTAGAAAGTTTCACTATTTCTTGAAGTGTCAAATATACAACGACTACGTATGATCCAGTCGTTCCACTTCTTGGTATTTACCCAAAGAAATGAAAGCATATGCTCATATAAAAACTTACATACAAATGTTCACCTTTATTTGTAATAGCCAAAAGTCAAAGGAAAAAACGTCCACCAACATGTGAACCCTTATATTATAGTTTTACAATGGAATAAGTAGGAGTGAACTAAAGATACACGCAGTGTGTATGAATTTGAAAATAATCATGCTGACTGAAAAAAACATACACAAAAAGATTATATACTGCATAAGGGAGGAGCTATATACATGAAAGAATTAAAAGGGGCACAAGGAAAGTTTGAGGATAAAGGATAAGTTTATAATCTTCATTGTGATGATTTCATGGGTATATACAGATGTCTAATCTATTCAAATTGTACACATAAAACATGATTTATTACATACCAATTATGCTTCAATAAAATGGCTTATAAGATCACAATATGCAAATATTAATAAACTTGGGAAATTAAAGAAGTTAGAGTAATAATAATGAATACAAAAAGAATATTGTCATTTATAACCAAAAAAGTAGAGGTGGAAATAAATCCTCTTTCAACACCTACAACTGGTACTACAATTTTGGTAATTCAATGTATCAACAATGCTTCTAGAATGTCATCAGATACATCCTATGAAACATATATAACTAGAAACATCTAGATCTCTGAACAGATTCACATATTTAATTTATACTTGCCTAAATTTCTAGACCCAAACACAATCCTACTCAAATACAGTTAAGGCTCAACCTAGAGTATAAAACATTAATTTTACAGCATTAATAAAAAATCTGTCTGCAAAAATAGTTCCAATTCTATACTTCCCCATTATTCACACATTTAGCAATGAGGCTTTGCAGTTTCTCCCTTAACTGTAGGTTTCCATGTAAGGAAGATGAACAGAATGCAACAGATGTCAGTTTGCCAATTCTGAGCTTGACCTCAGGAGATCTTGCATGGTTCTGCTTAGAATCCTGCCACCACCATGAGAACAAGACAATTCTAATCTGCTGGAGGATAACAGGACAGCCCAAATGTCCCAGCACAGGCCATCCTAGACAATCCAGCCAAGAGGACCAAAGCCACCTTCCTGACCTGCTGTTGGATGAAGAATCATAAATGAGTCCAGCCAAGAAATACTGCCTACCTGACTTACAGACTTGCTTTAACAATAAATGTTTGTCTTAAACCACCAAATTTTAGAGTACAAGTAAAACCCTGAATTGTGAATAATTTGGTCTGTGAGTGTTCTGCAAGACCAGCAAACATTTCTCATAAATTTTGATAAATGAACGATGTCTTGCGATAGGAGTAGCAGGTGACACCAAATGTCACATGATCACAACTGAGCCAATGGTTCTTGAATTTGATTTGCTAAACAAGTGCTTTAGATTATAAGCATTTCCAAAACAAATTATGCTCGCAAACCAAGGTTTTACTGTAGTTTGTTATACAGTGATAGCAAACTGATACAACTCAATCCTAAAGAAACCAAATTATTCTTATCCCTAGAAGAGTTATTTTATTTTTTTTATTTTTCTTAACCAGTATTTCAGATTAACAACTGATATCAATTTTTGAAGGCAATTGTTATTGCTCTTTTATTAGCAGTAACTCTACAAAACATCTTGTGAGTTGGCCAATTTCAAGATACATATAAACTGAGCAAAATAATTTTTACAAGTAACGTTACCAATTATTTTTTGTGAAATTCTGTTGCTAGACAGCTTCACTAGATACAACCATATAAAGAAATTTTTCAGGGTACTCCAAAATGATCTGTTAGAGGTATTATAGAGAGATCTGCCATCTTACCTAACATCCTTTTTCCTATTTATGTTAATGGTACCCTGATTGCCCATTAATAAAACACTCTTAACTCAACGGTTAACAGTGGCACCACGGGCTCCTGGACTGAGGAATGAACAAGTGGCGTCCAGGCTGATGAGAATTTCTCAGGCAGCCACAGCAATCTGTTCACAGATGAGAAGGTAGGCCAGTATGGGAAATTGGGACTCCTTCCCAGAATGTTTCCAAGTACTAGGAAAGGTACTCTCTTCAGTGGAAACAACAGCCATGAGAATTATGTATGTCAGAGCAGTCAGCAGCCATCTCTGCTACCTCACAACATACTTAGGAAATCAAGCCACCATAGAAAAAACCCAAGCAAAAAGCTATAAACATTATCATAATGACATCATATGCACCCATCAATAAAAACATGCCTGAAATAATTGTAGTAATAGCAGAATAGTAAATAACTTATCAATCCTCCTACTGAAACCTACTAGAGAAACTGAACAAAATTTTTAAAAAACTATCAACTTGAAGGCACCAAAAAGGTAAGACAACAGTAAAGAATGACCTGGCCAAGATCCAAGATGGGATAGAAACCTA